ATTATAAGATTTTAATAGTTGACAAGTATTATAAAAAAATAAATTATTCAACCCTTCGACGAAAAGTTTAATTGCTAATACAAATCTTCAAGGTTTTAAACTTGTATATTTAATTTTTTATCATATAATTTAAAATCTTTAAATTCTTTATATTGTTCTTGTTTCAATGATTCAATTTGGTTTAAAAGAAGTTGTCTTTGATCATCTTGATTATAATCAGATATATTATTATTTTTAATATCTGAAATAGAATCAGCTATTAAATTCTTTAATTGTTCATATTTAGTTTTTAAATCATTATTTTTTTGTAATATTTTTCTAAACTTTTTGCTCAATAAAGTTATTTTATTTTAATTAAATAATAGAATATATATTATATTTATAAAAAAGAAAGATTAATATATGAAACCTACAATAACTAATTTTTAGCTTGTTTTAATGCTTTTAAAAATCCTTTAAACAAATTATTTTTATGCTTATTTCTTTAATAATATTTAAGTAAATAATTTTCAATACAATATTTATTTCTATTTCTTTCTGAAATTTGTAACTTTAGATCTTGCCATACTCCTTCGATTATATTTGTATGAATCTTTTGAAGTTTTTGTTTTTGAGATATACTTCTTGATCAATTTATTCTTTTATATTTATATCTAAGAGATTCTAAGCCTGAATATACTTTTCATAAATTTGAATAAATTGTTGATTCTAGTTTAATATGTTTTTTAATTATCTTTTGCATAATATTAATATCTCTATTTTCTGTAACAACAAAGAAATATATATTTTTTTTTTGTACGTTCAATAGCTCCAACAATCCAAAAATTTTCTAATTTTTTAAATTTACTTTTATCTATTTAAACTTTAATTTTTGGACTACCAATTAAAAAATCATTTTCTATTAATATATTATTAACTAATTTTTTAAATAAATTACTAAATTTAACAATTGTATTTGGTGATTGTTTTGTTATATAACTAATTGAAGTATATTTAACTTTGGACAACCACAGATATTCTATAAATATAATTTCTGGGCATTTTAAATTACTATTTGAAAAAAAAGAATTATTATAAACTGATATAGATTTGTTGCAGTTTGTATTTTTGCAAGTATATAATTTTTTTCAGTAA